GAGAGGTAAAGGGAAATCATCCTGTGAACAGCCTTCACAGACTGCAAGAAGCCACAACGAAAGAGAGAGAAGACATCCGAATTGTTACCATAACGGTGAATGTGAGAAACCCTTGTTAAATTGGACACTGATGATTTTAGCATTTTGGCTTTTTAGATTTTTAGCTTTCTCACGCAACTCTATCCGTACTTTTTTCAGCTATAAGTTCTTGTATTTTTGCTGGCTTAATGCTGGTAATTTACAGGAAATCTGGTTGACTAACTGCTGTTTTACCAGCAGTTTTTATTTGTTCACGGTAGCACCTTGTTACACTGTGGAAAACGTTCCTCAAAGAAGAGGACTGTGTTGCAGATGCTAAATTCTGTTTAGACCCCTGCTGGAGAATTCCCCTCCCTAGTTGACTACGGCTTTATTGCAAAGTAGTTTTTCCGGCTTAATAAACATGGTTGTGTGTTGAACTGTTCCCATGTAACAAATTGTTTGATTGATTGATTGATTGATTGATTGATTCACTTTTATTTGAATACGATAATTTCATAAGTTACATAACTTCTTTACATGAAAGCCGTATAGAAACAGAAGTAAATACTGTACAACTACACTAAAATTATGTACAAATAATAAAATGTAGTAAAATGTAGTCAACAGTTTGCCTGCCTACTAGCCAGTTTTCTTTTAAAGATAGCTTTAGATTCGGCCGCTTTTATGTCATTTGGTAATGAATTCCACAGCATTCCTCCTCTGTATGAGAAAGACCATTTATAATATTCTGTTTTTGGAACGTGGTCCAGTAAAACATTATATTCCGTATTTCTTAGCATAGACTTATAAGGGTTGTTCTCACAGACAATCGAGAAAAGATGGCTTAAGTAACTAGGTACATTTCCATTCACTGTATCATACATTAATAGACTTAAGTGCCTTTGACGCCTTGAGGCAAGCTCTTCCCAGTTTAGTTGTTTTCGTATTTGTGCTGAACAAACGTCATAACTTTGAAAGGTTATTATGCGTGTAGCACGATTTTGTAATTTCTGGATCCTAGTGGTAAGTCCCTGGTCTAAATTGTCCCAAACAACGTCGCAGTAGTCGAACACAGGCTGGATAAGAGATTTTTAAATAGTATTTACAGGGTGTCCAGCGGCATGGTTGCTCAAAAAAATAGGAAAATAGGAAACTCAGGATTGAGAAAACAGGAGAAATAGGAAACTTTGCATTAAAAAATAGGAGAAAAATAGGAAAATCAAAAGTACTTTCGTCGACAAAGATAGCTTCCCTGTACTCCATAAGGGTTATAATAAAGGCTACGAGTCCTCAGATTCTATGTTCACAGGATTTAGATCAACTTTCGTGGCTAAGAAGGAGTGAAAATCATCAGTAACGTTTAGTTTATTGGCTCTGTTACGCTGTATCAAATCGGAATGATATGACTGACTACAGGTCGAGCGTGGTTCTATAATCAAAGGTGATCATATGGAAATCCCCTTCAAGTTGACGGCAAATCTTTCAAAAGCTTTGAAGAGTGAAATTTTTTAGGATAGAAATTTCTTACGATTGAGTTGTCATTGAAGGATATCGAAAAAAGTCCTTTGGAAAGCTTTCCTTCCATTAATCTGCAATCGGTGGCTGGTTGAGAATATGGTTGTTTGAGTCAAGAGACCGCGTAATTTTAAGTACGGAACCGGGCTCTCCGCGGTGTATGCAAAATGACGCTGGATGATTTATCTGGCCTGTGTTGTGAGAGGACAACTTGATCCTGTTTTCAGTTTCAAAGATGAACATAAAAGCGAGCAAGACTTCAAAATAAAATATAACATGTACAGTTACTGAAATGCAGTTTCAGTGGGCTATGCAAAATATTTAACAATTATTCCTCGAGCCCGAATGGGCTCTGAGTCAATAGCGGCCGAATGGGCTATTGGCTCAGAGGAAATGAGGGCGAGAGGAATAATTGTTTTTGTAAAATCCAACTGGTTGGTCAAAAATATCGAGAATAAAAAAATTTTACCTAGTTAAAGCTAGACTTTAATCCTTTTTTGCCGCCAAAAAGCCCGCACTTTTCGCTACTAGTGGGCTATAACATATAGCCTAGTAGTAGCTCAACCAATCAGAACGCAGCACTGATAATAGACCAGTAGTTGGATTTTACTAATATTCAATAGTCACGAGGACTATAACACTTCATACAATACATGCAAGTGCACGAAAAAATTATACAAAACGTAACAAAAAAAAATGTTAACAGAACTCTCATAGGCAATAGAGGTCATGGAAAGAACAAATGCAACTGTCATTTTTACTAATATTAGAACAACAAAATCAACATGCTACTTGCTTTATCATAAATTTCACTCAAAAACACATACAACTATAATTCCATTTTAAATTTTGTTACAAATTTTGGCTTCACCAGCCAAAAAATAGGAAAAATAGGAGGTTTTAGTCTAAAAATAGGAGAAAATAGGAATAGGCTCAAAAAATAGGAAAAAATAGGAAAAAATAGGAACTGGACACCCTGTATTTAGAACATCTAAAGGTACATAATCACGTGCCTGTTTTAGACCACTGATGGATCGATTGACTTTTGAACAAAGTTTGTCAACATGCTCGTTCCATTTAAGATTTTCATCGAAGTGAATTCCTAAATATTTTGTTGTTTGGACTCGTTTAACATGATTGTTGCCAATCTTAATTGGAAAGTCTCTTCCTAAGTTAGGTAATTTGAAGGTAGTTGTTAAGAACATATACTCCGTTTTAGTGACATTTAAGCTTAACTTATTTGCAAGACGCCAGTCCCTAACGCGAGTAAGGTCATTATTTACCTTGGCATACAGTTCAGCAGTGGATACAGAGGACGCATATATCGTGGTAAGGACACACAATGAGTTCGTCCCCTCCTTCACAATATTTAGCTAGGTAATTTAGATATAAGAAAGAAAATAAAGAAGAAATTTACCTTCTGATAAGAGGCGTTCTTTGCTTTTGTTTGCATCTAAAACACCAGAATCATCTTGCCAGTCCAAAAATTTGTCAAGTTCTGACACAAAATGGTCATGTCCAGAGTTTGTTGAAGCATTGACTTCATCTGCAGAAACAGTCATTCTAAATTCACCCAATGTCATAACAACTGGCTTTTCTTTCTTTCTCTTTTCTTGTGCATTTTCTTGAGTAAACTCTGGAGTAGAAACATGAGCCTTTTGCTGCAAATAATTAATCAAACATTCATCTTCCCTTCAATGTTATTATGCATGGCTTTAAATATGTAAAACAAGCTGCTATCGGAGCTTACACTTGGGCGTCGTTATATCGCGCGTATGTCAGGATTTTTTGAGTCAGGTACGTGTGAGTGCCGCAATGTTGTTAAGATGAAATCTATGAGGAAATTGAGTGATTTCCTTTCAGTGGAGAAAAATCTTGTACCAGAATGATTTCAAGCATATTGCATCCTTTTGTACATTTTTCGATGTAATTGGATTCAATACGTTATATGAAATAACTCCAACGAAAAGGTTCTTATGGAAGCCCGAGAAAACAAACTTCAAAAGCTTCAAATTTCACAAAATGAAATTTTACGCCTGATGATTTTACCCGTGTTTTCTCAATTGCTGTGAAATTTGAAATTTATTTTCTCGGGCTCCCATAAGAAATTGTATTTGGTGATATCACAGATAACAAATTATATCTATAGCCCTTGAAAAGTGTATAAAAGAAAGCGTTATGGCTTAAAATATTCTGGTACAAGATTTTTGTCCACTGAAAAGTAAAATTACTCAATTTCCTGGTGGATTCCGTCTTCATGGTTAAGTGTTGGTTGAAGTATATTGTATATTGTCGGTCAATAGTACTCTTGCTTGTTGTGTAGCTCTTGAAATAAACTTATTCATAACGAAGATTTTCACACACATTCCATACAATAGGTGAGATAAACACAGGAACCGCAAGGTTCCATGCACAGTTTCAGTTCGATTTACACAGCTTTGATCAAAACATTCTCAGTTTCGAGAACAGTTTATTCTAAACCATAAGAAAAGATTTAATTAGAAGTTGAATTTTTCGCTATTTCTCTTTCACTTTTAACATTCAGTTCATTTTATTTGCCAGAAAGTAAGGCTTAGAAATTAAAAGGACGTCTGATCAATTCACGCTCGCACATTCTAGTCTTATTTTAAACTTTGTAGCGGAAGGACATCTGTGAGAAGGGAATAAGTCAGCACAGAATTTGACTGTCGGTGAATTTCTGTAATCGTCCGTCGTTCTGCTAGTGATAAGCTAGCCGTTGTTCACTCGTCAGCTGACTCGTCTTGCTTGTCAGGGCTGAGTTTTATTCCGGTCAAAGATAGAGAAAGAGTGTCTGGCAAGGTTTCCAATCAAAGATTTGTGAACTCGCGTCTGGCAAACTCTCCAAGTGTTTATATATGCGCAGTTTTTCGCACCTTATAACTTCATCTACGCTTAACGAGTGTCTTTGGGTCCATAACTTTCAAAACAACTACTCCACAGAATGTCACTGATAACACGTAAAGCAAAGGAGTATCGACGTATGACTGCATAACAAATGTCATAAAATCTACCTAAGCAGTCCTCTCGGGATATTCTGTCTTTACGTCATCCTAACCATTTCGTACTCGCGACCGATTCCTCGCGGCCCCTGTTCAAGCAAGTCGAGATTTTTTCTGGCCTACTGACTGTATATTTCAACTGTAAGTACTGTCCTTAATATACGCGCGAGTTACTAGAGTGCCTCCTTCTGGGCGGAATCTCTGCGGGGGCAATTACTTGGGCGTCGCCCAAGTAGAGTGATCGAAATCGCTTGTTCTATCTGTCATCAGTCCTACGTCACTACGGAGTACCATGAGAAGCACGCGCGCTAGCTTATTGAGCCATTGTACGCTCTCTTTCGGATCCAACCCAACGGAGGCCTAGTGTCGTGAGTATTTTTCGATCTGAAAAGCGACCACTCACCATTGTTTCTTATTTTCTTTTCCCTTTAGTAATTACCCATCATGTCAGCCGAAAAAGTTGAACTTGGCGTTAGTCACCGAACTGATGCCTCAGTTAGCCAAACTGGCAATAATGCTCAACCTGAGATTGTTCGCCCTGCTGAAGCAGGTTCGTCTAGCAGCCAACCTGGCGAAACCCTAGCGAAAACGCTTTCAGATATTAACGTAAATATGGGCACAATGGCCTCTTTATTACAAACGATTGTGGCACGCCAAGATTCAAAGCCGCAAAAGAAACGGCGCCATAGCCCCCACGATCTTTCGAGCGCTGACTCCGAGTCTGAAGACAACGACCACGAGGCGTCTGGTAAACGAAGGCGCGAGGAAGACGAATTAAGTATCTCGCCCTCGGATGAAGACATAAATGAATTCCTTGAGGAATCGAACCCCAAAGAGGCCGAAGTCACAGCTAAAACAACTGAGCCCAAAGAAGTCGAGCTTCTCAAATCTCTAGAGGCTGACTTCACTGACGATGAACTTGTCGGCGCTAAAATAAACCAACGCTTGGCTAACATAGCGTCCAAACGGTGGGGCATTACCCTTCCCAACGACAAACTCAAAGCACTGCTGGCTAAACACGCTAAACCGGAAAATTGTCCCGACATAACCACGGTAAGAGTCAACCCAGAAATTTGGGATCAAATGAAAAATTTTAAGCGCAAAGCCGACCTGAGAGTCAGCAACATACAACAAGCCTTTCAGAAAGCCACTTTCGGAATTCTAAAAGTATGCGATAAATTAGTGGATCAGCAACCGAGCACAGACAAGGAAACACTGGCCTCTAACATCGACGCCATTGTCCTATTAGGACACGCTGTCGGGGAGCTTTCCCGCTTACGCCGAGAGCAGATTAAACCGGCCCTTAAAGCCGAATTTCATTGGCTTGGCTCCCAGGCAAATGAGTCGACCAGTCGTTCCGACCTGCTTTTTGGGGCCGACCTAGCAGACTAATTCTAAACCTCAAGGGACTAAACCAATTTGTCACTTATCACCATTTTAAAATGGAAACACTTCAGTCAATAATACGATTAGTCGAAAAGAATTGCTATATGGCCTCGCTAGACCTCAAGGATGCTTATTATACCGTTGGCGTAAGCCCCTCTCACAGGAAATACCTACGTTTCATGCGGAAAGAAGTTCTGTATCAGTTCACGTGCCTACCCAACGGGTTATCCTCTTGCCCCAGGAAATTCGCAAAATTGCTAAAACCGCCGCTTACCGAATTACACAAAAAGGGTCACAAATCAGCTAGTTTACACTGATGACCTTTACCTCCAAGGAAGAACATACGATCTTCGTGTCTCTAACGTGATTGACACCTTTTTATTCAATTCGATTCCTAGGGGTTTACAATCCATCCAGACAAGTCTGTCTTCATCCCATCCCTACGTCTGGTTCTATTAGGCTTTATTATCGACTCGGTCGGCATGACTATAACACTGACCCCTGAGAAGGCCTTAAAAGTTAAAGAAGCTTGTGGCACTCTTCTGGGACAAGGCCTTCCGACAATACGACAAGTAGCCTGTGTGATAGGAAAAATTATTTCATCATTCCCTGGGGTCATGTATGGACAACTTTATTATAGAATTCTTGAGCATACTAAAACCGTAGCCCTCAAAACCGCCAAAGGCGATTTTGACAGTCATATGTTCTTCATCGAAGATTGCAAAAAGGAACTCCAGTGGTGGGTGAACAACGTCGTGAGTTCCCATAACGTCATAACCCATGGACAACCCTCAAACACCCTCACCACTGACGCATCTCAGAATGGTTGGGGGGCGGTTTACAATGACACAAGCACTAGGGGGTTTTGGTCCGATGAGGAAAAATCACATCACATAAACTACCTCGAATTATTAGAAGTGTTCATGGGCCTACAAACCTTTTTTAAAACACATTACAACACCCACCTTCGAATCCTGACTGATAACACAACTGCAATAGCAGTCCTGAACCATATGGGGACTAGCCATTCAGATCCTTGCAACCGCCTAGGAAAAGAAATTTGCGAATGGTGCATCGACCGTAACATATGGCTCAGTGCTGCTCACATCCCCGGGTTTCACAATATCAAGGCTGATTTCGAATCGAGACGAACCAACGATAACACGGAATGGATGGTTGATAGGGCCTACCTAAACAATGCACTGTCGCAACTAAGTTTGCGCCCGAAAATAGACCTTTTCGCATCACGACTAAATAATCAATTTCCTCAGTATGTATCGTTTAAGCCTGACCCAGGCGCAGTTGCCGTTGATGCTTTTTCACTTAACTTACGAATAGAATTTAAGATACGAAAAGGGGGTAAGTCACATTAGTTGCGTAAAGAAGTCGCTCAGGCCCTCCTGGTTCGGAGTCCTTAGGACTAGTATGGGTTGACCTATCCCCTGATACCATAGACATCCTCATGGCCTCTTGGAGTAAATCCACCGGGAAACAGTACACAACCTACCTCTCTCGATGGGTGACTTATTGTAAAAACAAACAATTGGATGTCACCCATGCCACCATTAACTACGGCCTGGATTTTCTCACTTTACTTTACAAACAGGGGGTCGGTTACAGTGCTATCAACACTGCTCGATCCGCCTTGTCCTCGGCTATTACACCAGCGGATAAGACGACTTTTGGAGAACATCCCCTGGCAACCCGCTTCCTCAAAGGAACCTTTGAACTTAGACCATCTCTGCACAGATACTCCACTATATGGGACGTTGGCATTGTCCTCACATATCTTCGATCATTTCCGGCCCTTAACGACTTGACATTAAAACAACTTACGCTGAATCTTACGATGTTACTTGCCCTTGTCACCGCGCAGCGAACTCAAACACTCTCCAAACTGGACACCTCATGTATGCAGGAAACCACGACCGGAATTACCTTCACTATGCGGTACACCCTGAAAACAACTCGACCTGGCAAACACTTTGCGCCCATTGAAATACGACCATTCGCCCCAGACTCCCGTCTTTGCCCGGTAACCTATATCAAACATTACATCACGAAAACGCATTCGCTGCGCAGCAACCCACGCCTCCTGATCAGTTACACGAAACCGCACAAGCCTGTCACCAACTCTACTGTGGCTAGATGGATTAGATCTACGCTCCAGAATGCTGGTATAGACGTTAGCATATTCTCGGCACATAGCAGTCGCACAGCCTCCACCTCTTACAGCGCCAACGCACAAATTCCTCTTGCGGATATCCTCAAGGCTGGGGGCTGGTCGAACGCTCGAACATTCGCTGAACACTATAACAAGCCTATTAGTGGCAACCTCGGTCAAACTCTTCTGACTCATTTTGACTCAGCTGCACAGGCTAACTAGACACCGGAAATATAATCTTATCTTTGTTCCGTTTACCACTTATCTCAGTTATTACATTATCTCGATTGTCGAAATATCTGTCACGCTATTTCTCGCTTGGTTCTATTTAAGTCCATTTCTTATTGTTTTATTGAACGCGTTGTTACGTTTCCTATTTACGACCACGTACCCTATTTATATTTGGTACGTTGCAGGGTCATGTTGGAGCTCACAGGCTTTGAACTCTCAAGGTACTCCGTAGTGACGTAGCACTGATGACAGATAGAATTTTATAATTAAAAGTTGATGTTTGATTTGAATTCTATCTTGTCATCAGTCCGGAACGAAGGAGTAACATGCCCTCCCTTTGGCACTTCCCCATCCCTACTCCTTCGTTCCTGTGATCTCCAACAAGCTTTTTCTTTGAATAATGGCTCAATAAGCTAGCGCGCGTGCTTCTCATGTTACTCCTTCGTTCCGGACTGATGACAAGATAGAATTCAAATCAAACACCAACTTACAGGTAAGTCTCGTTTAATTATATAATTTTGATTCAAAGTTGCAATAGGCACGCAATACCTGCGAACGTAAACAAGACAAGCAACGCGACCAGAATATCTACCGCGAGATGTGTCACGACACAGCATTTATTCTCGTTACATACGTCCCACAGATAACGCACGGCAATCAAATCGGCAACGAAAATCAAACGTATGGAAAAAACAAGGTACACTGAGTAAAATAAACTATTAAAAAATTAAAATTTTCCCTTTGGAAATTTTTTTTTTTCTTTTTAATACTAATAATGAAAAAATTTTATTGACAACAATGCTAACTATTAAAATCCTATTTACAATTAATTCGCTTGAAAAAAAGAAAAAATTATTCATTCAAAACACTATTTACAGTTCCTGTCGATTAAAAAAGCACTTAATTTAGCTTAGAAAGAGTTAATTTAAAGGAACTGTGACACGAAATTCAGGCAAATTAGGAAATTACAAAATGCCCGTTAAATTGAGAGAAACATGAAAATAACCGCTTAAAACTTTAAAGGAGGTTTAAAATAACATAAAAGAAACAACAGATGCCACGGATGGGCAAAAATGAAGAAGATTGAAACGGATTGAAATTAGGGTTTTTGAAAACTGTTCAGCCTAACAGTTTTTCAAAGTTTGTCCCTGCTGCTTGCAACTTCAAAAATAATGCTCAGGAGAGATATTTTTTTGTCTCGGATCGCTGATTTTGTCATTTATATCTAATTTCTTTGCTTACTTTAAGTTCTATAGCGATTGAGGGCGACTAATTGGCAAAATTAAATAAAATGAACTAGACTGCCGTGACACAGCCCCTTTAACTAAGAAAAATTTATTCGAATTAAAAAAATAATTGTCCTCGCAGCACATGGGGTGGATGTCTTTCCTCTGGACCATAAGTACCGCTCATTACCCTTTTTCACTGTACAGACTATTCATTGTCAGTAAGGACATGTCCTCTCAGAGGACGATTTTTTGCTCGGAAAAGATAAAACTTATAAATCTTAAGCTTACGGTATTTTTCATCTTACATAGAAGCCGGGCGATTTTTCAGAAATTTGAATTTTAATCTGTCGAAAATAATTGCAATTGACGGGTTTGGCTTTTTGCCAAGAGTTTGACAACATTTTTACTCTTAGTGAACGAGTACCAAAGAAGATGTCACGCAAAATTCCGTGATCGTGCATGAGATAAATAAAGACAACATTGAACGATACATAATTTAATTGCAGATTTTCGGAAAGGAGGTGATTTCTTAAAATCTCATTGAGCAAATAATCTCGTAAACAAGTTGCATTCTTTCACGTTCGAACCGGAAAAGGGGCAGAGTGCAACATCTTCAAGAGCAAACTGCATTAGTGACAGTTACTTTTGAAATACTTGGGTTAATTAGATTAAGTCGTATTCTTTCATACACGAACAACGGAAGCGGCAAATTCCAAAGCTTTCACGTGCAAACTGCGTAACAATACAATTCTCAGTAAGAGTCTGATCACATGAGCCGGTCTGGCTAGTTCTGCCGAGGTGACTTTTATCCAGGTATTACATGAAAAGGGCCAGCCCGTAGCCGCCATTTGTATATAGAGATTGCAAGTAATGCGCATGAAGAGTGTGTTACCAGCTGTCCTGTTTCTCGCTTGGTTCGTTCGCCCGGCCACCCGACAAGCGTGATAAAGCCAAACTAAGTGTATCACACGCTTGGTAACCTGGAAAATTTCCACTCGGGATCCCAGCATCACAATACTGGGATCCCAGCTAACTGGGCTGGCTCAGTTGTCATATAATCGCAAAGTTGATTTTTGTTGCGTTTGACTAGGGTGCCGAGATCTCTGCAAAGTAAGCATGCCCAGTTCATGTAATCAAGCCCTTAGTTTTATTGCCTGATTTTACGTCCTCCCCTTTGACCTCACCGATTTTTCAAACCTCCGAACAAACACACAAAATTTTAGCCCCACCCCCTCAACATCTTCATTGCCCCTTCTCTATATTATATGAACGTTCCCTTATCCACGTTCTCTCCATACAAATATTATCAAAAATAACTGAAATTCAATCCTAAACGTTTAAAATAAGCACTAGTATGTTATTTTACAGCACCCTAGCCTTTGAGGGAATGTGAAGCTGACGGTGACCTTGTTTTGATACAAACCTCCTTTGCTTTGTTATGGAAATTTTCCTTGAAAAATACTAGTTAGCATAAGAGTAACTTGATTTACATAAAGCACGAAGGTTTGTATCAAAACAAGGTCACCGTCAGCCTCGCTTCCGTCCATAACTGTAAAATGGCTTATTGATAAGATCTTTCACAACCACCACTTCATTTCAACAGACTGGAAATTTTCATAACCAATTAGCCCTCCCACAAATACCTCACTGCAACATCTAGAATTACTTTTACCTTCACAAAAAATGTTTTTGTTACTTCACATTAAATTCCATAGGAAAATTCATTACCTGACTCGTGAATTCCGCGTTAAATTGCACGCGAAAACCGATAACGCGATTCGTGCGATATCGGTTTTCAAGTACAATTTAACGCGGAATTCACGAGTCAGGTAATGGATTTTCCTTGAATCGCCAGCGGCGTACGGAGGTACTAGGACTCTTTTTTGTTTTTTTCAGAGGCCATGTCGTCTTTTAAAGGTATTTATTTTTTCTTCTGTATGTGTGACAATCGACTCTTCTCCGTCTTGTTTGGTTGAACTTTTGCTTGCCATTTTCAGGGCTATGCCTCTCCAAGAATTTATAGTTCAGTTCAAAACCAAAAAAAATGCTTTGGTTTGTTTTTGGCTCTTCAAAAGGTGAGAATGGTTTTGAAAACAATTTAAAATGACATTGTAGAATAACAGTTTTGCAGCTGTTGTGTTAGAATTTGACGATAGTTGTTACGTATATGCGAAACAATATCACTGAGCCTCGTTTTCAACTCGCAATACCACGCTAAATACCTCGGTTCGTTAACCAATCAAAATGCGAGTTTTTATTTAATTATGCGATTCTAAGAGAAACCAGTTTCAGCGATTAACAAACTATAGCCATCTTACCAATCCACGTCTAATATAACTCCACGCCTTCCAATTTACACCTCTCAACCAACCCCTAAAATATACAACGCTACTGCACTACTCAAACATCCCTAATACACATATAAAAAATTTCACACACGCTTTGTATATCGACGCCCAAATATACGCTCCCACAGCGTCTTGTTCACCTAAAAGACTTGCAGCCAAAGGGCTGAGTTACGATGAGGTTTACGGCTAAAGTAAAAGATTTATAATTACAGTGGAACCAGGTTAATACGGACACCAAGGGGACGTCATGCCATAGTGTCTATATTGTCCCAGTTGTCCTTGTTAAGCGGGCCCAAAAAAACCATCATGGACGCATGTTTTACGGATATAAGCAGACATTTCACCGAGAAAACCTTACTTAATTTCTTAACTGTAACTTTAACAAGTTTACCTTAAACAAAACTCAAAATCAGTTATCAAAGTCTCAGACTAAAATTATCTCTAGTTTTAAGTACTGTTCTTTAAACATGACAATGAAATCAGAGTCTTCGTACTGATGCTTTTAGTTTGAGACTCTGCCAGGTGGATTGAATATTAGGCAGAACCTTTGAAAGGTCATTTGCCTTTATTCTGTTAGCTTTTCACTGGTAAGATATTTTGGTCATAGTAGGTAGATAAATAGTGTCTGTAAAGTGGGGTTGACAATATATGGGAATTTGTGTCCAGGGACACAGTAAAATGTCTCTTGCCTGTGTCCATAACGCGCATTCATTTTAGAGAAAATATATGAGCTTTTTTTTGTCAGGACAAACTAAATTGACCGTTATACACGGGTATTCATATTAAGTGGGTGCTGTACAGCCCCCGAAATGATCCCGACCCCGAAATGATCCCCAACCCTGAAATGATCCCCAAATCGACCCCGAAGTGATACCGACCCCGAAATGATCCCCATTTCTCTTCACGTCGACCCCGAAATGATCCCTATTTAATTTTAGCAATGGAATGATATCCTAGAACTATGGATCGTGCAAAATGCACAACATTATAACTTAAGCTTCACTAGTGATCTTCAGTTGCCCACGTGACATTAATTTGGGATTACACTTTGAACTGGATTAAACGAAAATATTATTTTCAAAAAAAATACACAAAGTCTAGTCAAAGTCTATTTTTAGTAACTACAACTGACAACAACAAGAAACATAACATTTTTTAAAATTATTACTTAGGTCATTATAGCCCGGGTTATAGAGAAAACTGCATAGATGTTAAATTCTAATAGTGATGTTAAAACAGCATGCCTTGCATCACTTGTGAAACTTTTAATGTTATCTATTTTATTCAATGTCGCCTGTGTAATCTACAATATATTGGAGAAACTAAACGTCGCCTCAAAGACCGTTTTAATGAACACCTATACTCAACCCTACTGGCAATTACATCCATACTGCAGCCTCAGAACACTTTCTAACCAGTTATCATTCCGACAATCGTATGCTTTTGCTTCCTATTGAAAAACTTAAAAATGGGCGTAATTCTTTCAGGAAAGCACGTGAAGCCCACCTTATCCATAAAGCTAAGACAATTGAGCCTCTGGGCATCAATAAACGTGATGTACTGTCACTATACATAGTATATCTTTTATTTTTTGTTATCTTGTCTTTTTAAAGTAGCCACATCATACCACGTCATATTATGTAATTTCCGGTCATTATTTTACTTCATATATAAATCTGTAATTCGTGATATCTCAATAAACCTGATGAAGACTGGTATTGGCCAGTCGAAATATCGCAACTAAACTCCATTTCACGTCGTTTGATCAGTCCCTGCAAAAGTCTTCTTGACTGTAACGCTTTCAATGCCTTGGATACTGAATTTTAAAAATGGTGTTTTAACACTTTTTAAAATTTTAAAATAATGTTGAAGATGCAAACGTTTACATAAAGGCGATTAGATGACAAAAGCGCTAAAAAATCACATAAACTGTAGCGAAATGTTAAACGCAATTTGAGAACGTAAACGCTGCAACAGATTTGTAATAATTCCGTGACGGAATACCATTCCATTCCAAGAATTAATTGGGGATCATTTCGGGGTCGACGTGAAGAGAAATGGGGATCATTTCGGGGTCGGTATCATTTCGGGGGCTGTACAGTGCCCGTAGAGCAGGGTTCTATTGCACTTAAAGAAATATTTGCTTTTCTTGCCGGCGGACTTGCAAAAGAGACAAGAAATGAAGTTTCCTAACTGAATAGAACCTGGGCACGAGATACATTCTAGGGTATCAACTTTCCCGCTCATCACGTGATTCAGTTTTTGTCTCTTACCGTACAGCGCAACAGCTTTTTCTTTAGTTGTTCGCATAGTTGTTCGAGAGCTACACAACCCCTCTTGGCCCACAACACTAGTCCAGCGAGGGAGCCATAGAAACGTTCAAGAACTGAGTGGAAAAGGGTCGTGGATCGGCGAGAGTCATCCCGCCATAGCGGCGTTAAGCACTTCTAGCCGCTCAACCTGACCGAACACACCAGAATGGCCAAAAGGCTCCTTGAAGCACACAAAAGAGTGAAGAACTTCTGCAACTCCTTGAGAGAGAACTGAAGTAATGGCCCGCGATAGAGCCATCCCAGGAAAAATTAACGAAGCCTGAGCACGAATTTTAAACGAGAAAGTACTTGAGATAAATTGAGGTGGCCACTTCTACTAGCGATGAAGCAGTTCTCAACGAGGCCCTGGAGGAAGGCAAGAAACGCCTCAAGGAAAGGAATAAACATATAATGTTAGCAGAGAAATATATCTTATTATTATTATTATTATTATTATTATATAACGGTTTATTAGCATTCCATGAAAAATGGCTCTTCTATGCTACATACAATATGGTCGCATGACCATTAAGAACAAAGTTGGCTCGGATCTAGACACGCTGTAAGTGCGAATGGGGTAATTAGGAAGATAGTGATACAGGAGCAGACCTCTTAAGTTTCCAAATTAAAGAAAGGGAGTTATGATAACTCGACAATTGCGATAATTTCAATGTTCCATTTCAGGTCTTCTTGGAAAATCATGCGAAGTAGCTCAGAGGTTTTCAATCTTTCCGGGTTCTTACCATCAGCTGAGATCTCAACTGGACACCAGAAAGCTGCTGAGTTGAAAACAGCATAACCTTGGTCTTCGTAGAATTTAGGCATAGACTACAACCTACCAAACAGGTCAGCAAGGTCTTCGAGAGCTTGCCATGACCGCTTTTCGTCCTCTTTTAAATTAGTGGGTTTCCCATGAAGATAGATTGTTGTGTCATCGGCGTATTGACCTTATAGAATCCAAGCAGTCTGTAAGGTCATTTAAATAGATTAAATAGCACTGGCCACAAGATCGAGCCCTGAGGAACACCATATGTGTTGTTAATATGCATAGTGGTCTAGTCGTCAATTTGGATGAATTGTTTCCTGAGGGTCAGGTAGGAAACAGTTCATGTGAGGTACGCCATGAAAAAGCCTACACCAAGTAGCTTTCTCGGCACAGTTTCGCAGGCGACAGAGTCGAATGCCTCGGAATAGTCAGCCAACACAGCCATAGTAACTTCTCCTCTTTACATAGCCCAAAGGATGTCATCCCTCATACCCAATAGCATTGCGGTGGTATTATGTCCTTTCCTATAATCGCTTAGGGTGTCTTAAAGAACGCCCCCGAAGAATGTGATAAAAAGTGCCTTCTGACGTAGTACAAGGCACTCGTAGATCCTTGAAAACACAGGAAGTATTGAAATGGGCCTGAAGTTGTTGTTGGTGTTGACTTCACTTATTTTGGGATAGCACTAACACGCACGAACTTCCATGCCGAGGGAAACATCACAGGGGCGGATCTAGGGGGAGGGTGTAGGGGGTGTCGTTATTGGTGTTTAAGTAGAGCAAGAGACGAGTGCAACCCTCCTAAAAAAAATCCTGGATCCGCCCCTGTATCAACTTCAAGATACAGGTGTTCAAGATGTGCGTTATTGGCGATGCAATATGATCTGTCACCATTTTGACAAATTTAACCGGGACATTGTCCATCCTGCAAGAGCAATCTGATCGCAATTTCTTTATCTCCTGTAAAACCTCGGAACTGGTGATCGGCCGTATATGGAAGGACGTGTCGCTCTCCTCGGGAAGACTCAATCAACTTGAGAAGAGCATCAACTGGTTTTGCAGTGGCGCCAGTGACTCACTCCACAAAAGAAGTAAAGTGGGCATTCGCCTCCTCAGGGTAGACAGTTAGTGGTTGCGGGCTGGGGTGTGGAATTCTATGTATGACTTGCCACACTTGTTTTACCTCTCTTACAATAAAGTGTTGAAAGTCCGAACAGCTCCAGAGTCTTACCCTGAGCATATAGCTCAGGGTAACTGAATAACCTTGTTCAGAGCATGTTTTTGCAGTCTTTCTAGGTCTTTGATTAAATAACCTGGCAGAGCACGATGAAAAACTGGACTTCCGTATTCCAAAATAAAGCAAATAGAGGCGATGTAAAATAAAACAAGACGCTGTGGGAGCGTATATTTGGGTGTCGTTGAACTACAATCACAGACAAAAGTAGTTGGGAAGGCTGTACAACTTAACAGTAGTCCATTTTAATCCTGAAATAAGAGAGTTTTCTCTTTTGCTAAATATCCCCCGTTCCCCCTGTTCAATGTTGGGATATAACAGAACAATTAGGTGCACAAACATTAACGTTTTGATCAACATTGGGCCAGGGGCAGGGGGAGCAAGGAAAAGAAGAGGTAAAAAAGGCAACCTTCCCAACACTTTTGAGGATGATTGTAGGCGTATGTGAAGTTTTTTTAAGTATATTAGGGATGAGTGATTAGTACAATAGTGTTGTATATTTAATGGGTTGGTTGAGATATGTTAAGTGGAAGGCGTGGAGTTATATTGGACGTGGTTTGGTAAGATAATGGCTGTAGTTTGTTAATCAGTGAAACTGATTAATTCATAGCATTTGGGTGTGCAGTGAGGTAGTTGTGGGAGACTGGGAGTGCTAATTTGGTTATGAAGGGATAGTGAAGTTACAGTCTGTTGAAATGAAGTGGTAGTTGAGAGATCTTATCAATAGTCAAAAACATACTTGTACTTATTTTAACTGTTACCGTATTAGGCTTTTTGTTTAGGATTGTCTTTCAGCTATTCTTGATAAAAGGCTCATTTAGCAACAGAACGGGAACGTCAGTTGACAACGACGCGCGAAAATCAAACAACTGGCTTGACCAATGGCTGAGCGGCAAATTGGGCACCGGAGGTCGAGTTTAATCCTTTTCGCGTGCTTTCCCGTCGTCAAATGACGTTCAAGATTCGGTTGCTAAGTCAGCCTAAAATTTGTATGGAGAGAACGTGGATAAGGGAAAGTTCATTTCATTTAGAGAAGGGGTATGAAGATGTTTGGGGAGGCTGAAATTTTAAGTGTGGGTTTAGAAGGCTTTGAAAAACCGGTGAGGTCAAGGAGGAGGGTGTAAGATCTGGCAATAAAACTAAGCGCCTGATTATATGAGCCGGGCTGGCTCGCCTTGCAGAGATCTTTGCACCTTAGTTAAACCTAACAAAAAAATCAACTTTGCGATTACATGACAACCGAGCCAGCCCGGTTAGCTGGGATCCCAGTATTGTGATGCCGGGATCCGCGCTGGAAATTTTCCAAGTGATCACAGGCGCTTTCCATTCAGTTAAATACTCTGGAAATTTCCATTAGAAATCAAATGGAACGGACCAGTTTCGGGTCGGTCTGACCGGAATGTTTGGGACCACCTGCGAACCAGTGACCGGTCCAGTCATTTCGGTCGGTCAGACCGAAATGCCCCTTTTCATTTCACAAAATTGTTGTCTCCAGTACCGCTCTTTTGTATCCTGCTTAAAACAATAACCGAACGCGCGGTGGCAGGGGTTAGGTCTGTGCAACCGGAATGTACCGTTCCATTGGGCACGCAGAATTTCCGAAATTTCAAACCGGAATTTTTGTTAAATGGAAAACACTCCACGGTTGCTGTGCAGCCCGCCGAATGAACCAAGCGAGAAAAGGGACAGCGGGTACCACGCTGCTCATGCACACTGCTTCCAACCTCTATATAAAAATGGTGGCTTCAGGGTGGCCCAGCTCATGTAATATCGAGGTAAAAGTTACCTTAGCACAGCTACAATCAGGGACAAAAGTAGTTGACACACTTGTTTAAAATTGGTGCTTTTAACAAACGTTTAATTCATTTATTACTTCATTCTTTATAAACGCCATAAATCCCCTCACCCCCCGAATCAATGTTGTCTGAAGTAAAAAAAAACTTAAGGGTCCAAAATTCAACATTGATTTTGGGGGGAAGGGGTTGGGGTAGACAGGGGTAGGGGATAAGTATATCCACTATGCAAAAAGGGGCCATTTTATGTAAATGTGTCAACACTTTTGTCCCTCATTGTCTAAATGCATAATTGTGCTATCGCACACAAGTTGAGCCGTGCATGACACTGATTTTAACTGAAATTAAAGGAATCAATGACATAATTATGTTACTGCTGGTGGGGGTGACATTGACTTATTCACGACCGAATTATAGGGCCAATTCGAATTACGTGATGACGTAATAAAAGGGCTGCGATATCCAGAATTAACGTCGATATGGTTTACAAGCTAAAAACTCACGCTAAAACTCGCGCACATGTACAATTTTTGATGAATTTCAAGGGTATGCGTACTGAAAATATTTTTAATAAAGTGAATAGTTCTCGTTCTTCACTTTATCCGATTGTTAAGGCGCAAACAATCACGGGTAGGGTAAGGATTGACACGTAGTGGGGATAGTCACTGGCCGGCCACAAGGAGCGTTAGTGAAGAGCGGCGGTCACTGCGTTCAACATCGAAACTACGGAAAAGTGAAGGTAAATTCATGGCCAATTCAATAAAAAACTAAGGACAGCGTAGCAAACATTGCAAGTGTACACGAAAACAATCACTTTCAATCCCACCTCGTGACACCCTGTGTGACATGATAACGCAACGCAAATAGCGTGACATGAGCGCCATGTCTGTGTATTTGGACTGCATTTCTTAAGCGAAACCCTGTGTTTTTGTCTATTGTCGGCAGAGAAAATAAAAAGAGAGCTTTGAAACGTCAACTGGTATTTGACTCTCAAAGAAAACGACAGCTCAAACTGAGGAAAACACTGCTTCCTTCGTGTTACAACGGTTAACCACGTTTCCGCCAACCCTTTCATTGTAATCAGACAATACTGGAGAATTACAGCTATACATAAGAGCACCAATTGGCAACTTTGAGGAATAAACGTGGTGTAGCGACCTTAAATTCACGCCAAGAATACGTATTGCGAAGCACTTTCTACATAGCGGAATCTTCTTTTGCCTTTTATGAGGAATTAGCGCATAAAAAAGGAAGATTTTCCAGCGCACGGCCGTCATCGATCACGTTATCCCGCTTTCCTTGTCATCAAGACTTCTGGGCCAAAGTAATTGCTGTTTTGGCGATGATACAAACTGGTGTGTCTATCTTGAAAACAATTTCTTTGGCATTCTGTGATTTACGAGTAGGGAAATGAAATAGTTGTCCATCCAACATCAATAAAAAATCATGCCACTGAATAAATGGCAGGCGGTCATCTAAAATCATTACAAAAGTACATTCCTAACCTAGTCTAACCTGTTCGACGCCTACCTACGCTAAAGGTTTGAATCAGTTAGGTTTGAAAAGGTCTCCAAAAAAACACATCTATACATAGGGCATAGCACAAACGGCTGGCTCATCATTTATGAGGTTCATATTCTGTATATTGTTCAATTCCTTTCACTAATGGCACAAGTCAATGTCAAAAATAATGCATGTTCCCTCCGTTACTCTGCAGTACTTCATTCGCTAAGTCAACCATTTTCCAGAACAATTTTCATTGTACCTTAGTATTCCATCCTTTTTCCACTACTGATAATACTTGTGAAAACATTACATCCGCAGCAACGGCATTGATCACAACACAAATGATTTCCTCTCGACCCGACAGGGTATCAGGAACGCGCGCGGGAGTACAAGATAAGGTAATGACATACGCTTCGTACATTTTACTCTACGTATACTACAAATCAGGACGAAACTTTACAAATTGTTGTTTCTAAACAAACAATTAGGCCCATAGAGTAACGTCATCACACAAAAATTCAGCAGCGTCAAAAATCTAGCCGGAAAAGACAGATACATATTTCAGACAATCAGAAACAAAAGTAGTTGACACACTTGTTTAAAAAGGGTGCTTTTAACAAACGTTTAATTCATTTATTACTTCATTCTTTATAAATACCATAAATCCCCTCACCCCCCGAATCAATGTTGTCTGAAGTAAAAAAAAGATTTGAGGGTCCAAAATTCAACACTGATTTTGGGGGGAAGGGGTTGGGGTAGACAGGGGAAGGGGATAAGTATATCCACTATGCAAAAAGGGGTCATTTTATGGAAATGTGTCAACACTTTTGTCCCTCACTGTAGCTAGCCCGACAAAATCGGGCCAGCATCAGGTCCTTACTGTGAGGTGTATTGTCATACAGTTTGCGCTTTT